ATGCCAAACATTATGTATCTTTATTTAAAAGATTTAAAGATGAATGACCACAGTAGCAAACTAGTTTAAAAAGCAAATTTTTTAATTTGATTTTTTATTTATTTCTACACCACTTAACAGAAACCAATTACAGAATGGAAGTAACAACAATATAAAAATTCTCACAAGAAGGTATTTTATTTGAACCGAATGAATGTATAATAGGCCTTTTCATCACAATTTTTTTTGTGCACATGTGTCAGTATCAGCCATCTTCGTACTGTTTTTTGTAAACAAGCATGTTAAAATGCCCACGTGAAAAAAACTATAATTGATAAATGTTAATTTAAATATATTCATTTAAAAAAAGGAAGAAAAATAAAGTAATAAGTCTCTATCTGTAAGAAAAGGAATAACAAAACGGTGTTGTAAGTGACACGGTATAAATCATTCAAGGTAATACATATTTTATAATAATTTTCCAAAGCCTTGCTTGCAATACCGTAAAAAAATGATCAAATCATCGGGCAAAATACATATTAAAACATGTTCAAAATGTACAGAATGGGCATTATGAGCGAAAAAATATGGTCGAAGTAAAAGTTTTCGATCGATTGTTGATATTACTATTTCTTCACTATATTTTCATGGAGAAAGTGGTCCATCAGAAGAAAATCCTTATCTAGTATTACACAATATTTTTTTAATATAAAATACTACTTCGGTATACACAATAGTATTCTTAGAACTGTCATGCGGATCTTCAAAGTACACTTCCCCAATAAATTAACGCACCATCAAAAAATAACAAAAAGTTTAAAGTAAATATTTGTCAATACCACTTGTCTGATTTGGACGATTGTTTTTTTAAATGAAAGGTTGTCTCTTCCACAACATCGGTGTGCTAACTGTGTTTGTATAAAACCCTCTTTTTTATTAATACTATTTAATAATATTATGGAGTAAATAAAACATGAAATTGTTAAGAAAAGATAAGGCTAAATTGTGATATCAATACGAACTTGGTGATGTAACTATTGCGCTCTACAGGGTGTTACAACTTTTATGAAAAAATCACGCTATAATGGCTACACCCTGTATTAATAAAAAAGAGGATTTTATGCAAACACAGTTAGCAAACCGACGTCCAAAACAGACAAGTGGTTTTGACAAATATTTACTTTAAACTTTTTGTCATTTTTTGATAGTGCGTTAATTTATTGGGAAAGTGTATTAAATAATTTATTTTATTAATTATACCTACTTTTGATTAACTTTTATGTAAATTAAAATGTTTTTGCAAGTACTAATAGTTGGTTGGCATATTTAATTAGAATAGAGTTATAATTATTATTTGTTACATTATTTTTTTAAACAGTAAACAAATATTGATACCTAACCTTTTAATCAGCATACTTTTTCTCTTTTTGCGAACGTTCATGACACTTCCAGCACCTTTTCAATTGCTTACAACTGTTAGCTTCCACATAGTTATAAAAAAGGGAATCATCATTAACGATTTTTCTAATGATTGATTTGTCTGTAGAGATATTGCTTTCATAGCCATTACTGATCAAAATAGAACGAAACTTTTGAATTACATCTATTTCAACAGGGCGGCTGCGCTTGCGCTCGATGAAAAAGCATATTATTTTAGTTTAAAGAGACCAGAGATATGTAACATATAACCGTGTTTAACCTGCTCGAATGCTGCCAATTTCTAAAGAAAGGGTAACGGAGTGGGGGAACTGGGAGGAGATCCAAACTCTGTGCCAGGAAGGACTTGGTTTATTAGCATCATAATGAACTATTAGATTTACTTAAAAGATGTATTATGAAATAAAATTAACATGACTTTTTAATATCGAACATTTTATGTAGAGAGAAGATAAAAGATCTTTTATAGAATATTTCGTTAGCGTTTATTTACTACGGACTTTTCTGCAAGAGACTACAATAAAATGTTGTTAATCGAGCAAGGAATGGTACTCACCTACAAGTATTATACTCGCAGCATGTGCCGCAGGCAAATACTGTAAATAAGCATAGCTTGTGAGTTGAACATTATGTTTTTCTACGGCTATTACATAATGTTAAAAATTAGTCGAGATAGAAAAATGCTGTTTTGCATTGTAACCTCAGAAAAATGTAGGTATATTAAAGCTTTTTGATTTAGGAATATTAAATATAAAGGATGTGTCACATAAAACTCCAGAAATTCCTTTTTCTGAAACCAGATAAAATTTTAAAATTTACATCTAATAAAAGTCATTAGGTCGCTAGAAGTGGGCGATTATCGAAATAAATTTTCGTTTTATTTAAATTAATCGATTTTTTTCGAATAATTGATTATTTTTAAATAATTAATTATTTTCAAATGTTTGATTTTCTTTTCGTATGTCCTTTAAATTCAATTATTCGCTTTACTTTGAAAAATAAAAAATAATCGATTAATCGAAAATAATCGATTAATTAACAAACCGATTAATCGTTTATTTTTCCAACCCCTATCTGTCGCTTCCAAGAATTTATCTCCAAAATTCAGAGATTCGGATTTTTTGATCCCGTTATCTTTCAAACCGTATTAGATTGTATAATAAATATTGCAAGAATATAGTTTTATTGGTAAAAAAATTGTTTATTACAAGTTGTTTAGGGTTTTATAATCTAACGTAACTAACTCTCGTAACTTTAGTATTTCTTTTTGCTTATACTAGATCATATTGAACGTAAGATGAACCTAGAAATTTTAAGTAGGTCATCCTGTATTTTATCTACTATTCTAATAATAGTTCTTATAATATTTACGCACCAAAAAGGGCTAAAAAACTGCCTTTAGTAAATATTCTTGTAAAACTACTTTTCAAAAACAAAATTTTGTTAGCAACAATGCTTATTTACTTTTTATTCACAAGACTAAATTAAATGTTAAACATTTTTTCTTTTCGTAAATTTATGTTAGTATCATGAAATCTGTTTTCTAAGGGTCGATTCCACCGTTGTGTTAAACGAAGATTAAAATGACATTGTTAATGTAAAAATGTCATGTTAAACTTCGTTTAACACAACGGTGAAATCGGTCATAAAATATTTGATACTTAATAGTTAGAGAAATATCCTAATGCAGATCGAAAGTATTCAACCTAAAGGTTTTATATCATAACATCATAATATTGGCACTTGTATTATAAGTATATTATACAATTTTTCAAGATATATCGTGGCATTTTTAACATGAAATTGAATAACTAAAACACTAAATTGCTAAAATACCAACAAATAATTCAAAAACTCAGTGGATATGAGCGTTGAATAGGAATATCGAAACAATTCGGGTGGCGTTGTGGAGTTAAAATCGACAACATGCGCGGTGTGCAATGTTACATCTCCGGTCTCTTTAATCTAAAGGTGGGTCCACATTGCTCGCGAACAGTGCAAACGAACACAACAAGCGCAACAAACAAAGCAAACAGCACGAATGAAACAAAAATCATATTTGTCGTGTTTGGGCTGCTTGCAATCACCGAAAACACCTGTTTTGACTGTTCGGTCGGGTAGCGGTACATCAAAGGGATGCATATTGCGCGCGCGAGCACAGTTGACGGCGGTTTGGTGATTTTTTTGTTTTTACTTTCGCTTTTAAAGTTGTCCAGTACGAGCGTACGAGCAAGGCGCAGTGCAATATGGAGTGGACTGAAAAAAACATTTTGAATCTAATTGGGCTTTATGAAACTTATCCTGTTTTGTGGAATCTACAACATAAATTTTATAAGCTAAATAATAAAAAAATGATGCGTAGTTTTTTGTTTTTTTGTCATTATAAAGTAATTTTTTTGTAGTTTTGTAGTGTTTTATTGTTTTTTGTTACTGTTTATTATCTCTATAATACACTTTCTTATTAATAAACCTGTATAAATTTGTATTACTTACCTTAAGTGATCTTTGAGAACTTCATTAAAGCTATCGCAAACCTTTAAATAAATAACTTAAACTAGTGAACGAGTCCCCAGTAGCGAGAAATCCTAATGTTATCGCTAGTCTTCCCTTCACTGGAATAGCTTTTCTAAAGGTGGTATTCTTTCTTTGGATATGTGACCCAACTAAATTAATTAGTGTTTCAAAATCGGTACTATTCATGCGACAAATATTAAAAAACAGCCCATCTGTTTGCAAATCATGGAGAAGATTACTTCCACTGTATTTGAATCTACTTTTAAAAATATTTGACATCCAACACCGTCTTTTTGTCACTTTTTTCCTATTCTCTCCGTTTTATAATAATTAACGCACTGGCAGCCGCCGTTAATAAAAATTGATCATCCATGTCGAAACCTCAAGAGTGCAAACACAGAACTACAATGTGGATACTTCTGCTTGCGGATACAACGATCTTGACAAAACAGAAGAAACACAAAGAGCAACGTTCCGGAAACAGCATAAACGCGATCACGAGCACGAGCGTGAGCACGAACAGGAGCAATGTGGACCCACCTTAAGATAATTATGGAATTGTAGGGTGATAAATGGGACTGTATTACATTATTATTTTTTTTGTTATCCTATACATACAGGGGAGTCTGGTAACAAGTTATTTTAGGGCGTTTAATGTATAACATTAGTAATGTGGTACTTTTTTAGTATTCTTGAAGGGATAAAAAATAAGCTATTCTCTAATATATCACTCGGCGTTCGTTGCCATTTAAAAAATTTAAGATGACGTCGGTCTCTAAACGCTGACGTCACATAAATTTGAATGACAGAATACAATCCCATTCATCACTCTACAACTTCATAATTATACATTCGTTTGTTTCAAAGAAAATACTCCGTAGCCAGACTTTTTCGCTACCATATATACATTTTTCAATTATTTCTTATTTTTGTTTTTCTTGTTTGAAAAGTGACAAGTTATCAACTTTAAAAGTATTTTTATTAATATTTGCACATCCTATATAAATGTTCAAAATGAAATTAATATAAGTAGTTGAAAATTAGTGAAATTAATATATTTTACTTTACAGGGTTTAATTAAAGAAATTCACACAGATGTACAAAATGGCGATTTGGAAAAACTAAAAGAGCTTGCCATTCCTCCAATTCCACCCAGTGTACTTGGTGCAAAGGATGGTAATGGTCTGACACCTCTACATAAGGTAAACATTATTTCTAATTATTTTGACACAAACGGGTATTCCACAGGGTTCTGGGCAGCTAATATCTGAATTATTTATTAAGATACATTTTAAAAAGTATATGGTGTACGTATATGGAATGGAGAATGCACTGAGGGAAAAGTTAAAATAATTTTTTTTTTTAACTAGACCAGTTAAACAGTCTAACTAAATAGAACTCAGGAACTTCGTGTTAAAAATTTATTTTAGAAACTGCGCTACTACTCTTTTACTATTTTACATTCAACAGGAGTAGATAATATATTTAAATATACAAAATTTTAGAATACTTGCTTAACTAAATTACACTCTAATTACCCAATTACATATTAATCTGTAAGATTGGTTTTTAAAAAAAATATATCAACAGAATACTGGTCGACACTTCTACCCATTGCAGTTAAAGGACTGTGAAAGTTATGTTGGAATATGACATGTTGTATTAAACACCAAATTTGAAACTTAACCTTTAATCCATCCTGCGGTGAGCTGATTAAAGTTTGGGCATATTCAAAGCATTTGGAGAATTACGAAAGCTTACTGGGGCCACTTTTTTTATGAAAAAGAAATATTATTATCTCGCAATTGTGACTTATTATCTCACAATTGCGACTTATTATCACGCAATTGTGACTTATTATCACGCAATTGTGACTTACTATCTCGCAATTGCGACTTATTATCACGCAATTGTGAGTTATTATCACGCAATTGTTACTTATTATCACGCAATTGTGACTTACTATCTCGCAATTGCGACTTACTATCTCGCAATTGCGACTTAATATCACGCAATTGTGACTTATTATCACGCAATTGCGACTTATTATCACGCAATTGTGAGTTATTATCACGCAATTGTTACTTATTATCACGCAATTGTGACTTACTATCTCGCAATTGTGACTTACTATCTCGCAATTGCGACTTATTATCACGCAATTGTGACATATTATCACGCAATTGTGACTTACTATCTCGCAATTGTGACTTATTATCACGCAATTGTGACTTATTATCACACAATTGTGACTTATTATCACGCAATTGTGACTTATTATCACGCAATTGTGAGTTATTTTGCCGTTACATGTCTGCTTAAAATGGTGAGCTTTGGTCAATGTTTCGTGAAATAACAGTGAAGTGATTCTCCATTCTCGAGCTTGTAGTAGCTTCAGGTGAGTTTTGAGTTTAAACATATGTATAATTTAATAAGTTGTTTTACAATTTTAACCATATTTTAAGATATTTGCAACACTAGACGATGGATTCAAGATCAAGAAATAATCTTATTATGCACTATTTTTTTAAATGGATGTAATTACAGTGAAATTCGAAACATACTGAAAGAGAGATTTTCAACAAATATATCAAAACGACAACTAAAGAGGATTCTAAACAAAAACAAGTTGTTCAGAAAAAAATATTTCAGTGGAGCTGATATTTTAGTAAATTTTATAGACCATCAGTTACAAAATTCTTCCCAACTCCATGGCTATAGATGGATGCATTTGAAATGCATTCAAAATGGTTTCTCTGTTTTGCAGAATATGGTTCGTTTAATATTACAAAACTTAGATCCTTCTGGAGAAGAACTAAGAACAAGACGAAGACTGCATAGAAGGCAATATAATAATTCTGGTCCTATTTTTTTATGGCATCTTGACTCATATGATAAACTAAAACCATATGGTATATGAATAAATGGCGCTATTGATGGATACTCGAGGTTTATCATTTGGTTGAAAGCATCTTCGAATATAAATGATCCAAAAATAATTGCAGGTGGGTAAAAAAGGAACACTAGGAAAAATGGTATATATTTTTCAGTAATTACTGGATGCAATTTTTGTTTTCGGGTTTTTTCTTAAGAATATTGAAAAATATGGTGGGTGTCCAAGAAAAATTAGATCCGATATGGGTACTGAAAATGGAACTGTAGAACGAATGCAAAAATTTTTGAGAGGAACTGCTGTTAAAAATGAAGATCAATTTTTGGATGATAACAGTTTCATCTATGGAACCAGTCAGTGTAATCAACGCAGCGAGTCTTGGTGGGGTATACTAAGGAAATACTGTTCGCAATATTGGATGAACCATTAATATGCAATAAAGTAATACACATAACTACTTTGGTTTTTTTTAATGATAATTTTTTAACTTACCTAGGTAGTTTTAAAATTTATAAAAAACAAACATTATGTAGGCAGTTGTTCAAAAGAAAACCATCCAAATTTTTGAATACTGTTGTATATTTCCTATTAAAGTTAAATTTCTGAAAATATGTCGTATATAAATAAAGAATATCTTATATTATTTTATTTATAAGGACCACTATAGTTGTAAAAACAAAATCATAGCAATTTAAACAAAATGCAACTTAGTTCACTGTGAAGCCTGCTCTTATACAGTCGTCAACCACATCTATGTACACAGTGATGTACGATTTGAAACAACATTTAAATACATATCAACATTCAGTGCAAATAGTTTATTAAAAAGTGAAACAGATAAGTTAATAAAATACTAGTATTGAAACCGTGACAAGTTATCACTACAAAAAAAAAAAAGAAAACAGTCTTAAATGGTAAAACGAAATAAATTTTTGTGAGTAATGCATTTTTAGGCCAAATAGAAACATAAGATACTAACGAGAAATACTGGCAATGACAGGTAGGTACGCCTCAAACTGTAGTATTTTTAATTTGGTTGATTAAGGGGATTGGTTACTGTTGAACAATTAATTGATCCTACCGAAGTATAATAGTTTTAATCTCAGTATTTTTAATCTCCTGTCATACAAAAATAAATGGTAAAAAATACTGATTTTAGTAGTACATACACCAAATTATAAAATAAACAAAAATAGAAACATCACATTAAAGAAAAAAGAACAAATAAAAGAATATTTCCTTCGCAAAAATAAAACATAATTTTGTATTATTACATTCTGAAACTAAGCAATTTCAACATTGCAAAAGTTGGCATTTAAAATAGAATTAAATATCGTCGAAACATTCTGGTAGATACTCCTTCAAATATTCAATTGTATTTATCATTTCTTTTGTAAGTGTATTAGTTAGACACAAAATGTCATTTATGTTTCTAAAATTGCGAAATAGTAAGCCACAATTGCGTGATAATAAGTCGCAATTGCGAGATAGTAAGACACAATTGCGTGATAATAAGTCGCAATTGCGAGATAGTAAGTCACAATTGCGTGATAATAAGTCACAATTGCGTGATAATAAGTTGCAATTACGAGATAGTAAGTCACAATTGCGTGATAAGTCACAATTGCGTGATAAGTCACAATTGCGTGATAATAAGTCGCAATTGCGAGATAGTAAGTCACAATTGCGTGATAATAAGTAACAATTGCGTGATAATAACTCACAATTGCGAGATAATATGTCGCAATTGTGAGATAGTAAGTCACAATTTCGTGATAATAAGTCGCAATTGCGAGATAGTAAGTCACAATTGCGTGATAATAAGTCACAATTGCGTGATAATAAGTTGCAATTACGAGATAGTAAGTCACAATTGCGTGATAATAAGTCACAATTGCGTGATAATAACTCACAATTGCGAGATAATATGTCGCAATTGTGAGATAGTAAGTAACAATTTCGTGATAATAAGTCGCAATTGCGAGATAGTAAGTCACAATTGCGTGATAATAAGTCACAATTGCGTGATAATAAGTTGCAATTACGAGATAGTAAGTCACAATTGCGTGATAATAACTCACAATTGCGAGATAATATGTCGCAATTGTGAGATAGTAAGTCACAATTTCGTGATAATAAGTCGCAATTGCGAGATAGTAAGTCACAATTGCGTGATAATAAGTCACAATTGCGTGATAATAAGTTGCAATTACGAGATAGTAAGTCACAATTGCGTGATAATAAGTCACAATTGCGTGATAATAAGTCGCAATTGCGAGATATTAAGTCACAATTGCGTAATAATAAGTCACAATTGCGTGATAATAAGTCGCAATTGCGAGATAGTAAGTCACAATTGCGTGATAATATGTCGCAATTGTGAGATAGTAAGTAACAATTTCGTGATAATAAGTCGCAATTGCGAGATAGTAAGTCACAATTGCGTGATAATAAGTCACAATTGCGTGATAATAAGTTGCAATTACGAGATAGTAAGTCACAATTGCGTGATAATAACTCACAATTGCGAGATAATATGTCGCAATTGTGAGATAGTAAGTCACAATTTCGTGATAATAAGTCGCAATTGCGAGATAGTAAGTCACAATTGCGTGATAATAAGTCACAATTGCGTGATAATAAGTTGCAATTACGAGATAGTAAGTCACAATTGCGTGATAATAACTCACAATTGAGAGATAATATGTCGCAATTGTGAGATAATAAGTCACAATTGCGAGATAATATTTTTTTTTATATAAAAAGTGGCCCCAGGAAGCTTTCGTAGGAGAATACTTTACAGGGTGTCGTTTTTTTATACTTTAAGAAAATAAATAGTCTGAACCCATTTGCAGTATATTTATAAACATATTTTATTTAATAAAATGAAACTTTTATCCATTAAACAGATGGGTGAAGGTCGACCTTACTTCGGATCTTAGACGTTGTATTACTATTACTATTATATTACTATTGCGTCAATTGTTATCACTAGTAACTTAAAACCGTTTATTTTTATCGTCCAAATTTCATTAGTCTAAATAAAAACATTTAAAATATAAGTCACACTGTATATTTCTTTACGTACAATATTAAATAATTCGAACAATGTTTTTTCATTTTCAGTTAATAAAAAAAATTAGATCAAATCAAAATGATGTAACTAAATGATTCAAAAACGTATAATTAAAAGAAAAATGCTTTATTTTAACGCACGAAAACGGGTAAATACGAGTTAACTGTTATTACGACTTTAAATGTTAAATGAATGACGTGACCTAATTAGAGATCGATTTATGAATACAAATA